AGGGGCCGCCAGGGGGCGCCGCAGGGCCCGGCGCGGGCGGCGCCAGCCGCGCTGCAGCCCCGCTCCCCCGCGAAACCGCCGTGCGTTTTACTCCGAGATTACGTACCGGCTCCCGACTTGGCGTGTCCTTCTGGTCCCCGGAAGCAGAGCCGGCCGGCGGCACCCTGCTCGAGGGAGACCTGCTTCAGAAGCAAAACCGTTCCCAATCATTTCATTTTTCGCCACAGCAGTTAATTATTATTTGTTGCAAACTCTGCCTAAATTTCACAGGGATTGTGGTTCCCCAGTATTACTCGCAGGGGTGTTCGGGGCAGGAGGGCGAAGCGGGTCGCTCCGCGGTCGTCGAGCTCCGAGGCGGCAGGAGGGCAGGAGCCGCCGGCACCAAAACCCACAAACTGATCGCGCCTCCTTTTTCCTACCCTGACAGCCGTCGCCCCCAGATGCGATTTTACTGCTATTTCAGGAAATAACTTCAAACCGAACATGGTATAGATCATTTTCTGAGATTTCCAGAAACTAGAGGTGGAAGCGGCCTGCTCGGAAAAGGCAATCCGCCTGCCAACGCGAGAGATGTACTTTTATGAAATGGTTCTTTGAATGCAGATCTCCTCCCCTGCCCCCCTTGTTATGTACCACTATTCCAGTGTAGTTCGACAGGACACTATATGTAGCTTATGTGAAAGCATCATCAGGAAATACTAATTAGCAGGAAATAGTTAATCCAAGAGCGTTTTTGCAGAATTCGTACCTTCACTACCTCAAAGTGAAAGAGAATAAGGCACGTGAAAGAAAGAATTAAAAGAATTACCAGTGAGACTTGGAAAGGACTCAGGGAGACAGGCTGGTACAAGTCTAGACACCTCAGACGGTAGGTGCTGGCGTTATCGCAGTACGGTTTAATTTCGTCCAGTCATACTGCAGCTCTTCAGACACTAGTAAAAGCCTTTAACGGATCGCCGGAAGATGCACCCTGCACAAATTAGAGATTCAGTGGGAACCCACACTTGGGTAACTAAATATAACACAGTCCTTCTGTTTGTTTTTCATTTATCTTCGGAGGAATTTGTCCTGCTGGATTTTGGCATTCAAGGCATATTACACTACAACTGACAATGGCCTTAGTATTATTAATTGGCCTGCTTCTGTAGCTGCATGAACAGGGCATTTGTTTATATTTGTAGGCTCCGTTTCCACACACCGATGTCTGTAAGGATCGACACAAACTGCTTCGCGAGGTCCTACTCCCTGTTGCAGGATTTATTCTGTAAGCATAAGTTGGCCAAAAATGCTGCCACGCGAAGAGCCGCATATTTTTGACACCCGCAAATATACTAAAAAATTGTAAAGCAAAAAAAACAAGTTGTTTAATATCACCAAGGATTAACAAAAGATTAAAGTTTGAAGTTACAGCTACTACTTTTCAGTCTGGTGATGCGAAAATATGTATCGTTAAGGAGCCATTCAGTTATACTGCAGGATATGTAAAACTAAAAGTTTAGCATTCCGGTGATTTGCTTGGGCTATATGGCTCCCATTTAGGTAAGTAAAATAAAACTTTTTTTGAAGGGAGGTACTTACAGATGACCATATATAATATACAAAATACATTTTGATATCCTACTATAGTTACGCAGCATCAAGAAGAGATTTCACAGACAGCAGAGATATTTACTGTTCACGTAGCTTGAGGAATTCCATAGCTGCTCACGCTTTATGCTTGAGTTTCGAAATGTTATGCAAAGGATCCTTAAAAGAAAGAAAACTGAATGAGTTATGAAAACCAATGAAAAGAATACGAGACTATCAGAGCGCTGAATTTCTGCAAAAGGCAGGTATTAAACACCAGAGTTACAGAATGGAAGATGGTGGTTAAAATATGGAAGAAAGGGCAGATTTGTCAAGATAGTTCTTGTGTTTGGTACAGCCACCCATTCTGCAATGACCACGGAACAGAACAGTCTGTAGTTTATTCTTCTACCAACAGAAACCAGATATAGATAGATATTTGAGAGTCACTCCCCCATATTTGGTACTCTGTATGTAACAATTTTCTTCCTGTTCTACCATCACATTTCTCCTGATACAGATTGTGCTGTTCTTCCTCAAATATGCTGGCCAAGTCCATTCTGCCAACATAAGCCCTTTATGTATCACAGCATATTAACAGTGAGATCTTGCCACGTTGCCCGCGTTTAAAGGAAAAAGATTACACTCACGTGTGATACTGCCATGAGCTATCAGTCATACACAACTGCTGGAGAGACAGCGTTTTTGACAGAAGTAGTCTGAACTCAGCACAGATTTTAATGTGCGAAACCACTACTGGGTTAGGATCTCCACATCGTTTGTTTCCATCAGTTCCATTAGCTGGGATCCAACGCAAAAAGACAGCACTAGCTTAGACTTCTAACACTGACATTCTGAATATGTATTTGGCAAGCATGTTTCCACCTGGCATTGGTTGGGAGCAGTGGTGCAGAAAGACCTCTCAAACTTGTCTAGTTTTTCTCACAGCTCTATTATAAACCATGTCTTGTCATTTATTCAGAAGAAAGGAAACAGTGGTAGATCATATTATCCCCATGCTCTTTCTCTGAGAGGGACTTTACCAACAGGATCAGCAATAGGATATTTTTCTTTTGTGTTCTTAAATCACGGTCCCGCACTGTATTGCGGCCTAACTATGCAGTAAGGAAGCATCGATAGCCATTGAATAAGGGAGAAATACACAGGACACAGGGCTGCAAAACTGCCAAGGAAACATATTAGCCTAGGGAAAAAAGCTCCTTATTCCCCTCACTATTCTAGCTGCAAAATAAATGCTATTTTACCAATCTAGGAAAGCAGGTGAATATATTCAAATAGCAGGCAGATGTATTGTAAGACTATTTTAAGGAGTGCTTGCTTGAAAGGATAACTTACTCTAAACTGCTAATAAGAAAGTCATGATCTTTACGGAAGCCTTCAGAGACGGCATTACTATTCCCGTATGTCCAAATAAAATGACTTTCTAAGAACATGTATTCCTATTATGTTAAATCAAGCCAAAAAAAATCAATACTGACATTCTTCACTACTAAAATGATGCATAACTTCTTTTATTTACATGATTTTTTCTCTTTTAGGAGATGGTTCATATTGTTGAACAACAACGCCAGTCAACTCTTGAAGAAGCTGTTTTAGAATAGAATAATAATTGGGAAAACGTGAGTGGAAAAACATTGTGTTGCATTTTCTTACCATACTTAAGTACTGGCTTTTCCTCAGGCAGATAATGCTGTACTTTGTTTCCTAAGAGACATGCAGTCAAGCAGTCTTTCCAGCCATCCCACACATCCAGGGGAAGTGTTGTACCTGCCAAAAGAGATGTTTCAGTTTCATTACGTTTTCAGCTTACAAACTTTTAAACTACCTCAGTTACATTTAGAGCAAGCTTTGCAATCTCCTGGCTGGGAAATAGGTATAGTATGGGTTCCTGCAAGGCCAGAGTTTTTTTATTCTCCAGGATCTCATCCTTAATTTCATGATTTTTTTGTGAGAAGATATCAACCCTCTAAAACAAATAGTCTTGGTAAGTTTGTATTAAAAAAAAAAAAAAGTGCATACAAAACATATAACACTTTGGTTTGTGTGTTTATCTCTAATAGCCTGAATTTAGTGACTTTTTGGTATGCAACTTAGTTGACTGGATTTTGGCCAGGACTGAGGATACATTATCGGAATAACGACTAGATGTGAGAACAATGAAAGGAGCTTTCTACAGCTGGCACGTTTGGCATTTCGAAGTATTACTCTTCTCTGAACGATCATTTGTTAATGGCATTAGAATTGCTGTTGTGTTGTGACAAGAAACTGTCAGGACATCTAGTATCTCTCCAAATGGCATCTTTTTATTATTTGTACCAGCATACAATAATAGTAGCACACTGACCTTGATGCTTACTGCTACCGGTTCATTCTTCCCACCCCTCCCCTGCAATGTTAAACATTCATCCATCCTGTTAATTATTCCGGATAGCGAGGGTCAACACATCTCAGGACTAAGAACTTCTACCATGAAAGGCTGTGAAAACATATTACGGTTTCATTCCTAACCTTTTCCTTACTGAGTTCCACTGATTTCCAGGAGTAAGTCCAATAACATAAGCACAGACGTCAGAGACCATGAGCTATTAAACGTAGTACTTCAACACTTGCTCTTTGGAGATTATAGAGGATAATTTTGCATTACTTATTAAAATCATAAAGAAACAAGTGGAATTAATTATTGTGAATCAGTGGGAAGGCAATATGAGTTCTCAGCCATCCTCACAAATTTGAACAGGTTTTGAGGCTTTATTAGGATTGCAGATTTTGGTTTCTAGTCTTTGGATTTTGAACATTTTCTTTTCCGGATGGAACTCTGGGACCCTCCAGCAGACGTCCACACTCAACACAGTGAAGTTACTCATTGTTTCATCTAAACTATTTTGTTTGCTAGTCCATGTACATATACTACTAAAAGAGTTCTTAGACTATTCTGAGCAATTTTGCAAATAGTTCTTCGTCTATTACCTTCCAGAGAACGTTTGTTTTGTAGTATAATGGGTATCATAAGTGCCTCTAAATAACAGCATAATTGTGAATATACACTTAGGAACCAAATATCACTCATTTGTTATATGTTTGTAACATTTGGGTCATTTCAGAGTTATATTCTTGACATTGCTTTAATTTGGGGGGTTTGGGAGCCAAATTTGCCATTGCTTTGCACTCTGTGAACCTGACAGATGAGCAAAACAGGAAAGAATTTCCCGTATCAGAAGCTGTATGCCCATTTTGCCCTCTTCCTGCTCGGTATAAGCTGACTTACCTTAGATGCATTGTATCAACGAATTGGGACCCAATTTGTAAATCATATACATAAACTCTCTCCGTTAGTCTCTCTAAAAATATTATATTTAGATAATTATTCATTTGGTACATTCATCCACAAATTACATCTTTTATTTCATGGCAAAATAATCCTTAGATCAGTTTACAGCTAATTACGTACTTAATTGTAAGACTAAGAGTAGTCCTATTGAAGATCATGTCATTCGTACTGCAGTTTGAATAACATGAGTGAAAACAATCATGTGTATCTTCAGTCACCCCAATTTCTGCCTGTCATTTGTGAATAATTTCATTATTGCTATTAGCTATGGGCAAAACTAAAAGAGCAGAGAAGTTAAGTGTTGCGCTTCAGGTCACATAGCACCTTTCTGACAAAAGTAAAAATAATGTTGACTGATCTCACCACTGGTGGCATAAAGCCTGGGTATCTACTTCTCTTTTTAAGGAGCTCAAGTTGTAAGACTGCAGTTGCCCTCATTTGCAACGTAAACATCTAATACTCCAAAAAATGCATACTAGGCTTCTGACATCTGTAACACCATGTGACAGTGACTGTCACAGGTTAATACGTACCGAATTGAGTGGCCCTTTTCAATGGTGTTGCGTGAAAGGTTCTATAGGGGCAGGTATATTACAGTCTAAGAGATATTGGGGACTAAACAGGAGCATGTTTCAGAAGTTTTTCTTGTGTACCCTAATTTAAAAAAAAGACTCAGTTTTCTGGGCTTTTCAGAGTCCAATTACTTTTAAAACATCCACAGTATTCCTATATATTAAGAGATGACTAAAAACTAAAACCTACTGTGAACCTACATTCACAATATACCCAAATGCAAAGAATAAGAAAAGAACAGCAGAAGTCCATGGGACCACTCTGTTTTCTTGTGCACTCTGCACAGTTAGGTATATATGCCAAATGGGTATAAAAACAGACCTCCTAAATGTTTGACATATTCAAGCACGTCATTATATGGCCTTGGAAAAACTAGTAAGAATTTTTTTCTGCTCTGCGTGCTAATTTTTGGCATTTCCTTTGATCTTTTACCTTGTTAGAGACACATGTTCTGTTGGGGAGAGGGAAGGGAGAAGAGGGATAGACTGCCAAATGCAAATACCTAGAAATCCACAGGCATTTTGAAAACGCGGCTTTAACGGTGTGCTTCAGCTTATCTAGCTACAAGCGTAACAGTAAAGTTTTTTTTAGATAAACTAAGCTGAACAACAACCTAGTTGCCTGCTGGGTCAACATTACTGTTTGCTGCACGTCGATTAAAAACAGCATAGAAATCATCCTATATTAATATCCACCTGGTCTGTTGTAGTCATATATCCCCCTGCCTCTTGAAGTTCTGAGACAATATTTGCTACTTGGAAAATCACATGTCAGAGATACCAGCGTTTTCAAAAATGACACCTTGGCTGCAAGAAGATAAATATCGTGCACAGTAGGCACTTTCTGCTGAGTTATAGCATTCTATACATATAGGTCTGGCTTGTTGTCTTCTTCAAAGTAACCCTTACCACCTCAGTATTCCCACGGGGTTGTTCTTGTAAATTCTGCTTACGGTTCAAGAACATTGTTCTTGAATACCAAGAGATTTATTCTTTTGACTGAAAAGAATAAATAGATAGAGCCAGGAACTTGGTTCCTAACAACCATCTCGTTGACTGGAAAAAAGCTAAGTTGCCATTTTTTAGGACCTGAACCTGCAATACACTAAATGCCTTCAGCAAGATGCTGAACACTTTCAACTCTCATAATTCATTTATAAAATTCTGACACCGGTTGTGTTACATGGTATATTTTATGCAGCTACGAATGCCCTGGGCACTGCTTAAAAATAACAGGCATTTTGTACCAGATCATTTATCATTAACTGCAAATGAGCAGCATCAGTGTGTGTAAGAGCAGAATCTGGTCTTATCAGCAGAAATGCTATTTACTTGTTAACATAAACAAAACTTCTTATGGGATAGCTCTGCATTTTCCCATAGAATTCCATTCTCTGTAATGCACAGGGAGTTTGTTTGTATATAGGATTCAATGTGGGATTAAGAACTAGCAGCTATTCATATTATATGAATTTGCAACTCATCCTTTTTGTTTGATATGGTATAATTAAATCTTGTATGAAAGACAGATTAGGCTGCAGCCACCTACGGGAAGTAATGAAGAGAGATGGAAAGAACTTTTGCCCGGCCTTTTGCTTGTAAAGCTCGCCTTTTATTTAAGCCTTCTAAAAGGTGGTCACCTTCGTGGTGACTGTTTCAATTTTGGTGAGAAAAGGCATCTTCTATGGTTTTTGATGCAATGTGATTTTGCATTTAGTTTGTACATGGTGTCTTAGGACTGATCATTGATGCACACATGACATGATTACATGATACACAAAACTGAAATAAGTAATTACATGCAAGGCTCAACACTAAAGAAAATCGTACCGACCTCGGGTGACATTGAACACTTCCTGCAGAATGTGGTAGTCTTTCTTCTCATTCCATTTCTAAGCACTTTTGATCTTGCAGGACAAGTAGTTGATTAGAAATTCAGAAAACAGGATACTGCATCATGGCTTAGAGATGAGGGATGTTAATTTTCTTAGCGCTAACTGTAAAATTATTTTGAAGAGAAAGCAAACGCACAGCATCTAGTACGCATACACATCCAGGACTTTTTAAAATAGTACAATGCATCTACCTCACTGAGCAACAGCAACAACAGTGCTACACGCAGACAGTACAGTCGGAAATGACTAGAACCAGTATACATGCAATAAAGAAGTAACTAATCGCAAAGACATTGAAACACTGCAGTTGCACTGCAAATACTGGCAGCTGACAACAAAATGCAAATAGGAGAGCTTAAGTTGCTTTATTTACATTAGGAAGAGAGCCAAGTGATGCCAGGCAAAAATCCTGTCCTTTATCTCCATGAGTATACAGGAAAAGTCCCTGAAAGCTTTCACAGAAATTTGAATTAAGATAGCGTAAAATAAACAACAAAAACCTTTTCAGGATCAAACAATAAACAGGCAGCATCTTTACCTGTACTTACGTCAAAAACTAAATATAAAAAGCAAGCATCGGAAACAGAACCAAGCATAAGTAGCTATCCTCCTACTTTTATAATGTTTTGTATCTTGCCTAGTCTTAGTCTAAAGAAATGTCAAAGATCCACCATATCTCTCAAAAGTAACAAAAATCCTCATCTTGCAAAATGACGCAGAAAAGTTTCTAGAGGCTCTTCTGGGTTAACAAAATGCATATGCTGAGCATTCATGTCTGTAATTAAAAAAAAAAGAAGAAAAATTGCACAGCAACACAAATCACAGTTATTTGGACCCTAAAAGCAGAGCTTTCTTCCTTTAAAGCAAACACTTACTAGCAAAAGCCCCATGATAACAGACAACACTGACATGGAGACAGAGTCATCTGAACGGGTTTCGCTAGCCCAAGCGAACAGGCAAAACACCCTCTATATGCATTAAAGACGCCAGCAAACCATCTATTAAGGTAAGCGTGCACAAGCGTCATACGCCTATCTGCAAACTAGTCATGCTTACACCATTCTTACAGTTGTATTTTAGCTTTAATTTAAGTACTGCTGATTAAACCTCTGAGAGTCATCATGTAAAAGCAATCTGGCATTTAACTACATTTACTGATTATTACCTTTTTTACAAGGATTCATAAATAAGATTGAATCTAAGCTTCTGACAGTGTTACTATTGAATATGCTCTGTCACAGCTTAGAATCTACAGCAAGAGCAAAATATCAGCTATTTATACAATAAAAAGTGTAAAAAAATGAAGCATTTTAAGGTATTTGAGCTATATTTAGGATGTAGACGTTCCTGGATCCCCTTGCTCAACATGCGTTAATTTACCTTTTTGCCATGCAGAATGTATCTACAAACCTTTGTTATGTTTTCTCTGCAATGCTTATACACTTACCTATATCTCTTAAGAAGAAACAAACATGTGAAATGCTTCAAGAGACTCACATGAAGTACTGCGTAGTGAACACAGAAGGAATCATACTGCTTGACTCATTACCCTATGTTGTTTGGGAAAAGACATTTAAGTCAGTATGAGCATTTCCATTGACTGCTACAGACTTAGATCAGGCTCGGTTCTGCTCTCCATCATCTCCTGGTACTGTTTTCCAAAGAGCATATCGCTGAAGCGTGTGTGTGGTGGACTGTTTCGCTACTCCCCTCTGTTATTCCATTCACTGTGTAATACATTGGCAAACGATAACATACAGGCATCAAAGCTGGTCAGTTTGTGTCAAAGCAGAAATGGCTTTCTGCCAGAAACAAACTCACTTCTAAGGAGATGCGGGGAAGTATACATAAGCAAGTATACATAATCACAGGCCTGTTGTCGTACACTTCCCTGTTCTCTTGATAACAAAATGCTAGAACCATCAGAAAATCCCAATTATCAAGAGGCCTCTGCAGATAATAGGCAGATTTTTGCAACAGAATTTCTACTGTGGTTCTCTGTTGGGCTTAAGGCTGCGTATACTATGTGATTTCTGTGGTATTTGTTTATCGTCTTATCAGACGAATCATTTTGTAGGGAGAAATAAAGACCTAATTCTAAAAACGTAATGTAACATACACTGCATGATCACTCTAATATACTCCTCAGAATTTTATGGCACTATGGGATCTTTATTTTAACAGGGTAAGTCACAATGGGATATAAGGCAGAAAGATAAAAGACCACAGCATTACGACCTGCTGACAGCTGCTTTTTCAGCATTTAAAGCAACAGCTTTCCTTACGAATGCTATTCTCCACAAATTTTAATGTACTCCTTTAAACTCCTTTTTATACTCTTGGTATACTGAAGCTTAACTGATCCTCTGCTGAGATTTCTTTAGTAATAATTCATAAGCAATAATAACAATAAAAAATCTTAGATGTCAATGAGAGGGAAGAAGCAAAGCGCACACGCTAAGCAAGGCCTTGTGGATTCTAGTCTTGGCTTGCATATTATTCACCGAGGCCCTTTGGCAAGCCTCGTGAGGCCAGACCGGGTTCCACTCTTCACCCTTCATTATCCCAGCACAGCTACTGGTGAATTATTAATAAAGATGTTCGCAGTGAGTAAATATGCAGGAATTTAATCTGGGCTGAGCATTGCAATAAGCAAATGCGCTAACATTAACTACACTGATTTTAAACCTACTAACATGTAAACAACGTTCAGCACACTACTTGTAAAAACATTAAGGTTTTTTGATAATTGGACTGGAGGGACAAGTTAAGAGCAGAGAACGACTCAAAAGTCTATTCCATGGTCTGAGGGCTTCTGCCACAGTTTTCAGTTTCAGTTTTCTCACAGCATACTGCATCATGTTTTATCTGACCTGTGCATTCCACAGACAGTCCGGCCACATTTTTTCCCAGCTACAAAGGAAACGATTTTGATGTTTGCTACTTGGTACATCTGCCTGACCTTGGGACAGTATTACTTCACTCTGGACAGGCTATTCACTGGTACTCCTAAGCAATAACTAAAAACTGTTTTGGATTAAACCAATTTCTGACAGTATAACTAGAAGCCAAATCAAATCAGTCTGGAAACTAACTGCCCTTCTCGGCTGCCGATTCCTCACCCACTCCTTCCAAACTTCAGTCATTCATCTGAATTCTTTATGCCCTTTGCTAGCTTTTACCCCTGCTCACGACCTCTGTCTCAGGCAGGTACACTTCTTGCTCAGCTAACGATCTGATTTATCTTAGCAGTTTTCAGTGTCCTGCCTATATTTCCTCTCTTATCCAGCATAGGCCCCTAAAAAATGATACTCTGCCTTTATGGTACTTTTCATCTGAGAAGCACAAAATATCTTGGAGTATTATGACTGAAGTAAGAAATACCATGACCCCCCCAGTCATAGATAGAAAAACCAAAGCAAGGAGGTGCTAATGTATACTACAGAATAAATGAACCTATATGATACTCTGTGCTACTACAGTTAGACCGTTTCCAAGACTTAAACTAGCACGTTTAAGAGTGCAGACAGATTCAGGTGGCTAAGCCAAGGTTACTTATCACGAGCACAGCAGTACCTTCACTGTACTGTAAGTTCTGATTTCTAGACACTCTCTTCTATCTTCCACGCAGCATTTAACCTCTGCCATAGAATACATTACGATTTGCAAAAAGAGAAAGCGATTGTGTAACATAACCCCTTTATATTAAGGAAAAAAAAAAATTGGTGCTCTTGATAGCCCGGTCCATTTTGCTGATTGATTACTATTCTTTGCAGTTCTTGCTACATCATATTTACTCCCTATTTAGTTCGTTCTTTCCAGCCCGAAAGGACTTAATGCTGATGGATCATCTCTGAACTGCAATGAGACTCCCGGATTTTTGTATTTTGAAGTCAATAATCAACTGTAAGCAACTTCAGAAGTCTGAAGCTAGTATTTAAAAACGGGTGGGAGCTCGACTTAGTTGTCGGACTATGAAAATAACTTTTCACAGAGGATTGTTCTTGCATGGGAATAGGATAAAGGCTGCATCCCTTAGGATCTCCATCACCTGTGGTTACCAAGATATGTAAGGAATCTCTACAAATCTCAGAGTTTGGTGGAGTTTTCTGCAGGAAACTTCCTCTACTCTCAATTAAGTTCAAGTGATCACAAGAAAGTAAATTAATTCTGTCTACTCTTTTCTTGGCCAACAGTCTGGTTTTGCAGTTTATGACAATATATCCCTCAACTCTACTTAGAAAAAATTCCTAACACATTTACATATACTGGTAGAATAACAGATACGCACTGTCTCCCTCCTGTCATCAGGCTAATTGACCAATCGTCTTCACAAGAGTTTTGAGTGAGCTAAATGGAATTTCAAGAAAGTCACAAGTATAACTGAGTATCTTTCTAAACGATACACACAACGTCTAATGAAAAGCTTTGGTGGCATTTTTTTCAGAAAATACTATAGAAGTGAGTCCTAGAAGGGATATCCCATCTTTGATATTTAACTTTGTTTCGGACAAACTTCTTATCTCTATTACGGCCGATAATTTACTTAAATCGGAGACCCTTCGGTTTACCTTGAAGAGATCAGTCTCAGAGACATGCACGTATATATGTGCACGCATGTTTTAGGAACACAGTACAGTAACAGACTGTGAAACCACAAAATAAAGGTGATTAGAAAACAGAAGTTTGAAGAGAAAGAAAGGAATAGAAGTTTGAAAAAGCAGCATAAAAATTGCGCGAGAAGAAGGTAAAAGAGTATGGAGGAAAAAAGAGGAAAAAAAGCCCTGACTGTCTATATGTAAAGTAACTAATCAGCTCCAGGAATCATGATAATTAGCTCAAAACGGCAGCTTCTTTACTTTGTGCCACGAGATCGTTAGTAAGACGTAATAACGAGAACACGTAATATGAGAACACTACCTACATAACTGGAACGTGTAAATCTGTAGAAGGATTTGCTCAAAGGCTCAAAAGTGGGCAAGTACACTCCAGCTGCAAAACCGAAGTTCTCTATTGCTACCAAACTGGCAGGATCCATCTTTGTGAAGCCCCTTTCTTAGCAGTCATGCAATCCGCTCGTGAATCCTGCTGTGTGCCAAAAAGAGAAAATGACATACTTTCTGAGCAAACAAACAAACCAAAACCCTAAGTTGGATGTGACCATTCAAAAACAGCCCAGCCATGAATTCAGAAAATAAACAAAGCTGTGAAATGCTTTTGGCTGATCCTGTACGTTTCAGAAACCGCTCGTACACAAAGGCTATCTCCACTAAGCAGCGTAAAGGATGTTAGTCCCCCAGCTCACCTTGAAACGATAATAAAGGTAGCTGATCGAAAGCACCGTATCTTCTGGCAACATTGCTCATAACCTCAGGACGACACTGCAAAGAAAGTACAGATGTTATCCCCCATTATCGAGATAAACTATTCTCTTCTGCCTCTCCTGATCGGCAAGCTTGGAATCGAAGCTAGAAACCATAACGCACGCTTTAAGAACCCCAGAACGTTTTCCTTAGTTCACTTTTTTGTCAGTCACTCGATCTCCTGCTGCAGCGGTACTATTACAGGAAAGATTTTAGCACCGCGTCAGGAAGAGCCAAACAGAGTGGCCCAGGGGACGCCAGCCGCCAAAGCAGCACGCA